CAAAGGAGCCACAGAGTGGAAAGCCCTGAGGCAACAACCCATATTTTCCCACTGGTGGACAGTTTGACGTACTGGTGATTACCACTAAATCTGGAAAGCTTGTGCAATGCTGAGCACATTTAAGTTTCTTCTCTTCAAAGCAAAATTATTAAACTCATTGTGTTTTTTGTGAATTTTCCTGAACCACATTGCAATTACTTGGATGTTTCAGCTCATGCTAGTCATAATGAACAATGGCTGATCTTAATCAGAGGTATAATGTGTTCTGATACTGAGAAAACATGTGGTTTCTGAGCCAAGTATATAAAGTAAATTACACTTCCTAGTAAACTTTTGAAAGGTAAAGGGGACATAAGGCTGCCTTTTTTGGTTAACTTTTAATTATTTCCGAAGAATTAAAGTAATGCTTTTCAAACGCACAGACTACACTTGTAACAAACCAAGTGTAGTCTTGCCTCCTTCTTTAGGCAAGCTTCAGCCAAGATGTAATATGGGTCAGGTTGATTTTTTAAAAAAAATCTGAGGTTGATGAGCTTCCAAAACCTGAGTAGTAAATATGATTTATAAAGGTACCCACCTCTGGAGAAAAACTGAGTAACAAAATCCATGTTCTCTCAAATATGTCAATTATTCCATAGTCCATTTCTTAAAGTAAGTCTGCATCCTATCTAATTTTATAAACACTTACAGAATATCTAAACATGTTTCTAAAATTTATTTTACATCACCAGTGGCTGGATCTTTTTAGAACAATATGCTGCTACCAAACCATCCTTAAGCATTTGGACATTTAGATTTTGGTGGTTTGTTTACTTTTAAATTCACTTTTGTTGTTCTCATTTTTCACACTTATTATATAAAATCATTTTAAATATGGAATGTCAGAATGGAATTACATTATCTGATATCCTTATACATTCAAATGTTCACAAATGCTCACATGTATATTAACATGTAAAAGTCTAAAACTGCAAAGATAATAATTATTGGCATTTACTTCTTAATATAGTTCTAATTAAAAAAAAAAAAAAAAGGCACCGGACTGGGAGTGGACAGACATGAGCTCTAGTTTCAGCTCTGGCCCTAAGTAGTTACAGTTCCCTGTGGAAGTCACTATAAAAAAAACAAAACCAAAACCAAATACTTTATTGAAATATGATTGACATATTAAGAGTTGTACATACTTTATGCAATTTGATGAGTTTGGAGACAAGTATACACCTGTAAAAGCATCACCACAGTCTATGCCATAAACATATCTATTGCTTCTACAGGTTTCCTCCAACCCTCTTAGTTATTATTATTATTTCAGGATAAGAACACTTAACATAAGACCTACCTTCTTTTTTTAAATACTTCTGATTTTAGTTAATTATAATAGGATACAAATTAAGATGAGTTCCCCAAAAGAGACCATAGTACAAGGTCTGGGAGGATCCCAAATGTGAAGTTTCTGTGTCCTCAGGACACAACACCCTTCCAGACCATCAGTGTGGAGGAATTTCACTCAAGCCTCAGTGTCTGGAGTTTTTAGTAGGGCTTTATTAGATAGGCATGATTACTTGAATAAGATCTACCTTATTAGTAAATTTTTAAGTATACAATACAGTATTGTTAACTACAGGCAGTATGCTGTACAGTAAATCTCTAGTACTCATTCATCTTGCATAACTAAAACTTTATACCCTTTGACTAATACTTTCTTATTTTCCCTCCTCCCAGCTCCTGGTAGCCGCCATTCTACACGCTGCTTCTATGACTTTGACTATTTTAGACTCCTTATATAAGTGAGATCATATAGTATTTGTCCTGTGTCTGGCTAATCTCATTTAGTAAAATGTACTCCAGGTTCCTCCATGTTGTCTCAGAAGGCAAGATTTCCTTCTTTTTTTCAGGCTCCATAATATTCAATTGTATGTATATGACACATTTTTAAAATCTAGTCATCAGTCAATGGACATTTAGTTTCCTTTCAAATCCTGGTTGTTGCAAATAATGTTGCAGTCAATACGGGGGTGCAGATACCTTTTCAAGATCCTGATTCCAATTATTTTGAATATTAACCCAGACATGGGATGCTGGATCATATGGTGGTTCTATTTTTAATTTTCTGAGGAACCTCTAGACTTTTTCCATAGTGACTGCACCAATTTTCATTCCCACCAACAGTGTACAAACGTTTCCTTTTTTCCACATTCTTGCCAACACTTATCGTTTGTGTTTTTGGTAATAGTCATAGGAGAGTCATTTTTAACATTACTTGTGTGTGTGTGCGCTTGTTTTTTCACTAATGATAACAGGGAGTTAAATTAGATTCATTTGTTCAGCCAACAAATAATCACTGAATGTGTATTACGTTTAAGGCCCAGTGCTAAATGTTGGGTAATTCACAGGATTGCAAGTGGGAACCAAAACCAGTCTTTGGCCTCTAAACATCTCCTCTCCTCTAATATATTAACGTCTCCCTCTTATCTGTATTCCATTTAGGGTTTCCAACTATCCAGACATTACTCAAGCTGTTTAAAGCCATATTTACCAACTTCATCACAAAACTTATTTTTCTTTCCTATATATTTCTCTCTGAATGGCTACCTATTTTCCAATGATACAGTGTAAAAATTCTGGACTATGTTTGACTCCTCCTACATCTCCATTTGACATTTCCAAACTTCCACCAAGCCTTAATGACTCACCTAAATTTATCTTGGATGCACTTTTCTTTTATTCCAGTTCTCTCTAATCTAGCCTGGGACCTCATCTCTCAAGCACCAGATTGCTATTTTTGCTTTCCTGTAGATTTCCCAGCTTTCAGGCACTTTTTTCTCCAATCCAATCTCCAGGTAATTTCCACACCTACAGTGATTCTCAGTGCCTTCTACTTAGGTCCAAGTTCCTTTGTCTGGCTTCTCAGGTCTGCCATTACCCTTTGTCTCTACCTTCCCTATGTCAGTTCTGTTTGCTTACCAACACACTCACTTCTCAAATCTATGCTCTTGCTTATGTGGCTTCCCAGATTGGAGTGGCATTACTTCTTTTCTTATTAAAAATTAAGTCATCTTTCAAGACTCTGATCAAGCGTCAAGAGTCAATTCCTCCTTCTTTTAATTCCTATTAAATTTATAGTCTATGTTATACTGATTAGCACTTTTTTACCATTTCAAGTTCTAAATTAAATTTAATTAGTTAACATATAGCATAACATTAGTTTCAGGGGTAGAATTTAGTTATTCATCACTTACATATAACACCTAGTGCTCATCAAAGCGTCCTCCTTAATGCCTACCACACATTTAGCCCATTCCCTCCCCACTTTCCCTTCAGCAACCCTCAGTTTGTTTGCTATAGTTAAGAGGCTCTTATGGTTTGCCCACTCTCCTTTTTTTTTTTAATTTCACTTATGTTCATCTGTTTTGTTTCTTAAATTCCATATTTGAGTGAAATCATATGGTATTTGTCTTTCTCCGACTAACTTATTTCACTTAACATAGTATACTCTAGATCTATCCATGTTGTTGCAAATGGCAAGATTTCATTCTTTTTCATTCTTTTGATGACTGAGTAATATTCTATTGTGTATTTGTGTGTGTGTGTGTGTGTACATATACACCCCCCACATCTTCTTTATCCATTCATCAGTCAATGAACAAATGGGGAGGAGCATAGGAAGAGAGGTGGGGAGGAGCAAAGAGAGAGAGAATCCCTATCAGGCTCCAGGCCCGTCGCAGAGCCCAACTCAGAGTTCCACGTGGGGCTTGATCCCACAACCCTGAGCTGGAATCAATAGTTGGATGCTTAACTGACTGAGCTACCCAGGTGGCCAGCTAAGTTTCAGTTTATTACAGCTTATGCTTGGTCCACTCACATTAGTCTCTGAGAGGCAGAGCTCCCTGAATTGGAGGCATAATGCCTAAAAGAATAAAACTGGTGTCTAGAGTGATGACTTCACCTGTTTAACCTTAAATGGGGTCAGGTGGGGTGGTAAGTGAGAGTATCGGCTGGTAGGACAAAGAATACAGAATTCATACGCTATTATTAGATTATTAGGGTCATCTAAAATATTTGTAAAGAGACATTGAAACACCTCCACAAAATCTAGTTTGTACCCAGGATATAATATTTTTACACAGAACATGTGAGAACTCAAATTCTTACTATTGATCATTTGGGGGGGATTATGATCAAATTAAGTCTAAAAGATAGAGTGAAACATCAAAAAATCCACATTTTTTCATTTGTGCAATATAGTAGAGTGATAGATTATTGCTGTCCTGGGAGGCAGAGATCCCTTTTTGCTTATTCTTTTAGTTGCAAGAGTAGTTTAGTTTAAGTTACTAAACTGAAGCAAATTTTAACAAATTCTTGTTCTTTTTTTTCTAATAAAAAAGGTCACTAAAATTATGTTAAATATAATGTAAAAAAGCTTTAATATTAATTCTGTGTAACTTTCAATAAGTCAAATATGCTTTAAAAATCATACCTGAAGTGAAGTGAATCATTACGAATGGGCTTATAAGTGTATAAAAGAAATTCAGTAAGGCTCATTATAAACAGTAAACCAAACTCAGTAGGTCAGTAAATCACCAAAAATATAAGCCCAATAATATCTTATGGAAGTGATATTAACCCTTTCAAGATAGCATCTCATTTGCCTCCCAATTCTTTCAGCTGACATTCAACTACTCTGGAGTGAGAACAATTAAAGAACTCTTGCCAGAATAACAACTGCAGAACAATGACTATTTTGGACAAGGACCTTCTTGAGGTCAACAGGGACTTCAACAGAAATCACTAACCACTTCCTTGAGTACTGCCAAGGAATTTTCCTTTTTTTTTTTTTTTAACTCTGTCAGTTTCCATTACCAAATGATTAGACTGCATTTTCTACCATGCATGATTCATTCTGTTGAAGTCTCATTCATAAAACAAACTGTAACCAAATAATATTTTCCATTACCTTGTAAAAAAACTAAATGACAACACAACAAAATCAACTGGCTTACCATTTTCCTTCTTCATTTTCATATTGTTGAACAGTATATCCAAACATGTCCTCTACGGGGCCGCTGAAAGTCATTGAATTTTTCACATCCACATTGAATGATACACAGAAGCCTAGAACAACTTTAAGAGGGAAAACAAAGTCCAGTTACACAGAGTTAACTAAGATTCCATCATGTTTTGAATTATGGAAGGCATGCCTAAAAATTGTGCTCTTGTTACAAAAAGCAATAATGCTCAAAAAATGAGAACTGCAAGAAAGGTTTATGGTATTAATTATATTACTGACTGCAAATAACAACTGAAGAATACAAGTACTAACATTCAAACAAAACCCTATAGAAATTTAGTAGCTGTACCATTCCCAGAGCTAATGACTTCAGAATCTGAGAGAGAGAGACCTGGCAGAAACTCGTGCTTGGATATGCCTAATGTGGTTACAGATAGCTTTCCAGTAATGAGCCCTACAGTGAATCATGGCCACTAATGCAATGTAAACAACTTCATTTTCCTGTTTTGACTATGAAGGATGCAAGAATCACCATTTAAATCCTCAGGAGGGGAAGCTTTCTCCTTACTGCTTCCAAAAGGAATGCAAGTTGATTGCCTTCACCCAGAAATGGCTTCCGAAGCAGGCCTGAGATTTGTTCTGCTTCTTTTTCCATCAAGCAGTGGACAGAAAGCTTATCCTAGTATGCTAGAACCTCCATATAGTTAGTGTTGGTGGTGACACACTCACAGGCTGCTGTCCATGATATATCTAGATCAAATGACGTATCTAAAGAGTCTGTTCAGTGCTTGACACACACTAGATATTCAATGAGGGTTAATTCTCTTCAATTTCCTTAAAGTTCAGGTAATGAAAACCCTTTACAAGAGAGACTCTCTCCTAAAAGAGTTCTGGATGGTGCCAAATTCTGTCAAATGAATGGTGCCAAATTCCAAGGTTGGTACTAGTTTTTGAAGTATAGTTGTGAAGTTACAAAGCATTCCTCTCCTAGATGCAACTAAGAATTCGTCCCAAAGAGCACTCCCTTATAAAATCACAAGCATCATAAGGTACATTCAGATGTAATTAAATTCACCATTCTTTATTAAAACCATGATACAGCTACACACATCCTGAAAAATTATCTTTCCTTACTCATTATAAATTCTTCCATAGATATAGTTTAAATCCAGACTCAAATTCATTCTATGCTTTAATTCATAACCTTCAATTTTAACATTGGCTTTTTTGCTGCACAGAATTGTACCTAATCTAGAGAAAATTTTGTTCTTTAAAAAAAAAATTATGTATACCTATTCATGAAAAAAGATACTTATGTATACCTATTTATAAAGTCTTCCTTGATATTTCCAACTGGAAATAATCTTTTTAACTACTAAATACTCCTCTTTCATTTTTTTAATATCTCTCATAGAAATAATAATAATAATAATAATTTATTTATTTATTTGACAGAGATCACAAGTAGGCAGAGAGGCAGGTAGAGAGAGAGAGGGAAGAGAATTCTCTGCTCAACAGAAAGCTCGATGTGGGGCTTGATCCCACTCACCCACTGCCACCCAGCCGTCCCTCATAGAAATAATTATTAAATATTATTTTATTTACATTGTAATTATCTGTGTAATTATCTGTGTGTGATTTCTACCCCCCTCCTCCAGTTTGGAAAATTCTTAAAAGCGGGGACTCTCTTCTTCTCTTTCTTATCCTTTCTCAAAATCTAGCACCTTGTACACAGATGGGCAATAACATATTTGTAGAATAAACACTGAAGGAGAAAGTGTACCAGCTGAAGTTAGAGGTAAACTGACAACTATTTCATTTTAGTTAAGAAAGACTTAATGGAGATGGAAATTTTCAAGTTAGATTTTTAAAGGAATGGAGAGATTCAACTTGGCAGTGAGAAGAAAATATATCCCAAGAATTTGGGAGGGTCTCTGCAAGTGATAAGACATAAAATGGGGCAAATATGGTTGTAAAATCATAGAGAGACTTGCCTGGCTTGTGTGGAAGATGTAGAAAAAGAATGGATGGGTAGCGTAGGTCCATTTATGTACATTTCCTGCTCCTACTTCAAGTGTGATGGAGAACAGCTGGTTACCATCTTCTGCATAATTGCCTTTTACATATTTGAAGACAGTTTTAAACACTGTTCACTCTACTCCAAACTAAATAGTACATGCTCCGACCCTTCTCTCACAGGTTTATTTTTTTGAAAACTTGTAACAGATTATTTTTTGATATGAGAGATATACAAGGTAGTAGGTCTACAACAGGATTTCTCAACTTTAGTTGAGAACTTTAGTGTTATTAAAATTTTGAGCCAGAAAATTATTTGTTATGAAAGTCTACACTGTGTGTTGTAGCAGCATCTGTGGTCCCTGCCCACATAATGCCAGTAGTACTCCCTGACTTAGGAAGATCAAAAATGTCTCCAGACACAGATAAATTCCCCTGGGATCAAAACTGCCAAAGCTGAATATGACTATTCTATAGAGAAGGACCAGACCACCACCACACCAATGATTTTGTTGAAGAAGATGATGGAAAAACAACTGGCCTGCAGACCAGCAGCATCTGCATCATCCAGAGCTGGTGAGGGATCCAGAATCTCAGGTTCCACTCGAATCTCCTGAATCAGTATCTCCATCCCAACAAGATCCCCAGGGAATTCAATTCCTGTTAAGGTTCGAGAGGTGTAAGCCTGTAATATGGTAACCCACTTTCATAATGTTGATGTAGGTAACATAATTTACCTAGATTAAAAGTGCTCACCATCTTTTAGACCAAAGGGGAAAGGAGTTATTATTAATCAGGCTCAAGTTCACTGCTCTTGAAGTATTTTTCTAGCACTTTATTGTGTTTAGTATATGTTCTCCCAAAAGCCATTCATGATATTCCTCATTATAAGACCAAGACCTTTTGGTTTCCTTTTTAGGCTTGTTTATTCCACATGTTGTGTTGAATGTTCAGGGGAAGGGGGGCGGTGTGCTGCACTTTTTTTTTTTTTTTTTTTTTTTTTTTTTTTTCCCCTTTTTTTTTTTAATTTTTGGGGGGGGGGGGGGGGTGTGCTGCTCTTTTTTTTTTTTTTTTTTTTTCATTTCCTGTCTTCAGAATTCTACGGGCAATTTGCCCAAAGTGATTGTAAATCAGTCTCTTTCATGTTTGCTAAGGCACCAAGGAGACTGAAGCACAGGAGATGACATAAAAAAAATAGTTTACATCTTGTTCTTTTGATTTAAAGGAGTACACAAAACAGTGAAGGCAGCTTCTCTAAACTTTGAGTTTGATGCTCATTTTGTTATACTAAGTTGTCTTGGAACTTTATGTACCAGAGGTAAAGCAAAAATCGTACTTATTCTCTGCTGAAGTCAAAAAACAAAAACAAAAACAAAGCTGAGGTGGCTTAAGGGGCCATAGAGGGTGAAAATGATGGGAAATAAAACATAGACAATAGTCAGATATCAAAATTAAGTTCTAATTTCACATGTACCAGCAGAAGAGGAATTTTTTTCCTTAAGAATAACAACACACTACTATTTGTTATTCTTCACATGCTCCTTCTCATATAATTTGCCCACAACCCTACAATTAGTGTTATTATCACTGCTGTGCAAATGAAGAGAAGAAGGCTCAAGACAGTTGAGAAGTTTGCCCATAGCTCCCCAGGATTCCCAAACATTCACATTAATTCAATTTTTACATCTTATCTCTAAAACTGAAAAGGGTTAGTAGAAGGCAACACTACTCTTAGTCCAAGTAATTACAACCTCTGAGAAGCAAAACTGGGAAGAGGCCTTCTACAGTGGCCATGGTTAAGAAAATGGGGCTGAGGGGGATGACTGGAGTAAGGAGAGAAGTCATGCCTGCAGAGACCTAGATAAAGCATCATGAGAGATTTCAGCCAAAACATTCATGTTCAGGTAGAAAAGAAATGGAAAGGCTTGCTCTCTGTCAAATATGATTATATGTGTCATATATTTAAGGGCTCAAAACTGAGGAGGAAGATGAGATTGTTGGTGTTGAAGGATATCTCTTGTAAAAGAGATCATTGTGCACAGTTTCTTTGTCCCAATATGGAATTTGAGGTGTAAGATGACTAAATGAGAGAAAGAGAAAAAGAGGGGGAGAAGTAAACTACAATTGTATGGTATTTTCTGTATATAAATATTTTGCCATGGGGCATCCAGGTGGCTCAGTCAGTTAAGCAGCTGACTCTTGATTTTGGCTTAGGTCGTGATCTCAGGGGCCTGGGGTCGAGCCACACTGCGGCTGGTGGGCTCTGTGCTCAGCTGACAATCTGCTTCCAGATTTTCTCTCTCTCTCTCTCCCTCTGCCCCTCCCCCTGCTTTCTTTTGCTCTCTCTCTCTCTCTCTCTCTCTCTCAAATAAATAAATAAATCACAAAAAATCTTTTGCCACTTACAAACATTTTCATATAAAAAGGATATTGAACTATTGAATGGCAGAACAGCAGCCATTATTCCCTCTTCTTGTATGTTAGGAAACTGGACTGTAGAAGGGTTAAGTGATTGGTCTAATGTCAGCTGTGTTAGTGGCAGAGAAGGAATTAAACACTGGGCTTCTCAGGTCAAATCATAGACTTTCTGTGACAAGAGTGCCATTGAAGTTGTGAGATTAATAATAATAAAAATAATAACAATAACCCAGGTCAACAGAACCTCAAAAGGCCCATGAGAGCTCTTAATCATCTCATAGCTTGAGTAGTTGAGGATAGGACTGGCAGGAAAAGTTGAATGAAGGGGGAAAAGTCTGAGCTTCTCCCGAGGGCACTGACTCTCTGGTCAAAGAAGACCTTCCTCCTCCACACATCCTCTGAGTTCCAAGAAAAGTCACTGCAGCCTGTTTGATATTTTGTTTTTTAATGAAGAAAGTCTGTGTTTCACAGGGTGGTCCAGAAATTCTGATCTAGCAATATCCAGATTGAAGTATTTAATAGCCAATGGAATTCTGAATATTTAAAAGCCCAAGTAAAAATGGTATCAAATAAATGGTGGCTAGGGATTGATATTAAAATGCTATTGCTTTCTTTCAACAACTTCCTACACATTTATCCAATCTGGACATAGGAGAAATCACGGAATTAATATTATATT